GGCCACTTTTTATTTAAAAAAACAAACAAAATAAACAGTTGCTCAAGCATAAATTTTAACTCCTGGCAACCCCATGTGTTTCAGAGTGGAACTGTTGTTGTTGTTAAGTGCTGTTGAGTCGGTTCCGACCCATAGCGACCCTGTATAGGGTTTCCAAGGAGCAGCTGGTGAGCTTGAACTACCGACCTTGCAGTTCAAATGGCTTTGCAATCTGCCACATTAACCCACAGTGCCACACCAGGACTCCTAGGGTGTATAGGAAGTAGCTTTTTAAGAAACTGCCAAACCTTTTACAGAGGGACTGTACCATTTTGCGTGTGTGCCTGAACATTCTAGTCACTCCACAGCCTTACCTGCATTTGGTGTTGTCAGAAATATTTTCTCCCAGGCAATGGCTGGTCTTTTCATTTTGAGGTAAGTTACGGGTTGTATATATGTGTACGTATCCACACATTTCTGAGATCTCTGTTAGGGTTGTTGCTCTTTTCCTTCTTCGGGTTTCCCTGTCTTCCTGTTGGAATCTGCTGAAATGGAGGCAGTGCTATGAGTCAGCAGGAAGGGAAACACAACAATGGGAGACTTGAACCAAGCACACGCTCCTTTAGTGCAAAAGAGATGGACATGTTTACTCAGCTTCCTCTGCTGCAGTGTTGCTTAAGTTTATTTGAAGTCCTGTTGTCCTTTTGTTCAGTGGTCAGCGAAGTACTTAGGGTGGATAGCACTGTCTTTGGAAGTTTGTATTGTTTGTGATCAGTGACTCTCTTTTCTTTTTTACAGTATATCTTTGGAGATTTTAGCCCCGATGAGTTCAATCAATTCTTTGTGACGCCTCGCTCTTCAGTTGAGGTAAGACAAAATTTTGTTTTGTTTTATTGTGAATTATGTGATAGTTTACATTAGTTTTACATTCATCCTATCGTATATCATTTCATTGCCATGGTTACAATCCCCTCTATGCATCATTAACCAACCAAAGGGTATACCCTGCAAGCCTGCCTCCCCCCCACCCCCCCCACCCCAGGTCGTCAGCACACAGCCCCTCTCCCTCTCTGGGTCTAGAGTTCCCAGCCGCTCCATCGCTCCATCTCTCTATGTCATCGTCTCTGCCTCCATTTCTGGCGTCATTGTTTCTTTGGGTAGGGTCCTGCACTCTGCTCTTCTCCCATGATGGTCCCAGGGGCCTCTGCTCCTAGACTGGAAAGTTAATCACTCCACTCCTTTTGCTACAAAACGTTTACCTTTACATTTCCAACCCTCACACTCAGTCCTGATAACAATTATTCACTGTTGTATCACAGGAGACCTATCTGCATCTCCTTTCATCAGCACTGCCCAGACAGATTGGATACTGCTTAGTGGAGGTTCTACCTTCCTCCACACTCTCTGGATCTAGGTTCCCTCTTGAAAGCTTGTAAGCCAGTCACTTCTTGCCTTTGTAACCCCCCACCCCCCTCCTTTTGGGTAGCCAATGTCCAAGTTGCCTATCCCTGTCTACTCTGTGTATGGAGGGGGTAGGAATGATCCTAAATTTTGTTTTAATGATTATATGTATAGATATAATTTATGGTTCTGTTTCAGCTTGAATTTTTAGGATGCTTATGTAGTCACGGAGGATTTCACTGTTCAGGTGGTACAGAGACGAAGATTTATCTGTGCAGATGCATTTTCTTCTTGCTCTTGGCATTTAATTACTGAATACCATTGGTTGAACCTACGCCCCACAGTTGGCCTACCTGTGTTCCTGTGGACAGCCATCCAGGTCAGCAGTGTTGCTGTAAACCTGGCTGTTCTCATCTCCTCACACTCCTCCGGGGGCTTCTCCAGGATGCACACAGGAGTGGCTGTGCTGGGCTCCACAGAGTATGAGCATCATCAGTGTGCTCCCTGCACAGGATCCCAGCCTGGCCCCACCAGCAGCACATGTGTGTGTGTTTGCTTGCTTAAAAAAATCCTGATTTCTCAGGGTTGGTATACGTAAATTCTCCGTTTATTTGCTGGGTCATCACTGGATTCTCATGGTTTGTTTCCATTTACGTCACTCAGATTACTAATGGCCAGTCCCTCTTCTGTCATGCTCATGTGTTGTGTAGAAGTCCTCGTCTCTGAGTCCTGAGCGCTGTGCTCTGTCCAGGGGGCAGCCTCTCTGGCTGGGTTAGCCCTCTTTCTCCTGAGTGTTACAGTGTCTCCTAGCATCGGGGACCTTCAGACTTCATGTGTGCTGCACTGAAACATTTGTTTTGTTTGTGAGGGGAGTACTTTAATGTCAGATGTGTCATGCCCGCCCTGCTAAGGTTTATTGATTTTCAGTTTCTAAAAATACTTTTAAAGAAATCTTTCCATATTCTGAAGTAATAGTCATTTGCTTTTTTCCTTCAAAAAGTTTTTGTTTTTCATACTTGAGTGTGTAATACAGCTGGCATTGTGAGAAAGATTTCTGTATGTGTGTGAAATGGGATCTAGTCCTTCTCCGGGAACCCGTTCCCTCCATGGCGATAGTAATAAGTTGTCCCAGCATTGTTTATTGAGAACTCAAGTGTTGGTTCACTTATCACCTCTTCTTATGTAGCTTGTATGTCCCTGAGTCTGCTTCTCCCCTGGTCCATGTGCCTGGGCCTGGTTCTCGTCTCCTGTTCCATGTCTGTGAGTCTCATTCTCGGCCCCTGTTCCATGTGCTCCTTGCTTTATCTCTGTGCCAATACCGTAATGTAATGGCTAAAGGTTTGTCATACATTTTCAGGTAGGGCAGACACTTCTTCCATGTTATTTACAATTATTTTTGCTGTCCCTGATAATTTATTCTTTGTTAATGGATTTTTATATTTAGGTATCACTGTACGTGAAAAGTCTTGTGGGAGTTTTGATTGGAATAACATGAAAATTAGGATTAATTTATAGGCATATTGCTATCTTTATGATCGTGGTCCATGTTTCAATTCTTTCAGGACCTCTTGCACCTCCACTTTAGTTCACAAATAAATAAACTCATCTTAGAAAAATTATCAGACTTTTTTACCTATGAAAACTGTTATCTTACACTGAGGGTGGAAAAAAGGAGAGAAATAGTTTATCAGTAAAATGTTAGTTAACTTTTAATAAGACCTTATTAGTCTGTGTACTGTGTGTATTTAAATATTTTGATGTATGGGGTTCTACTCTTTGGTAAAAAACAAAACAAAAAAAACGGGCAGGGACACAAACCCCTTCAAGATTGGTATCAAGATTGGGTCTGACAAGTCCTTCACTTCCCCTTTACCTTGGCTTTTGGAGTTCTAAAACCTCAGAGTTTCAGAAGACTAAATTAAACGAGTATATATTAAAAGCATTTAAATTACACAAATGTACGAAGCTTTCTTCTTCTCTTCTCGCTCACTTTAGGAGAAGAAGGGAATCGGAGTTCATTTTAGAAACCGAGTGGCATCAGGGGCGTCGCAGCTCCATCTCCTGTGTTTGTTCACTGATGGTTGGCAGTTAGGGTTTTAGGGGATCTGAGAATCTAAACTGGAGTCCTGGTGTGATGCTGTACGATAAGCACTGGACCACAAGGTCAGTTTGAACTGCAAGGTCGGCGGTTCACACCCACCAGTCACTCCTCTGAAGCCTTAGACAGGGTCTCAATGAATCAGAACCAACTCGACAGCACTTAACAGTAACAACAAAATAATCTAAACCAGGAAAAAAGTGAATGTAAAATGATTATATTGTATTTCTAAGCCAATAAAATGTACCTCTGGATTATAGAATTCTATAGCATAAGCGTTAGAAGCTTACTGTTTTCTGATAAAAAAAAAAGAGTTAATTAAATTAGGACAAAAACAAATCAGGTCCCATATTCCCCAAGCATCATCATTACTACAGGCTCTCAGGTGTATTGTACTGTGCAGATGATTCAAATGCTAACTAAATTCTGTCTGAGACACAGAGCAATATGGTGGGACCTGCTAGAAATGCCACCATTGTCCTGTGGTCTTAGTGATGAAGGATTAAAGAATGAGAAATCCCAGCTTCCGTGCTTGATAATTTCACTCAAGTGTGTGTGCATGTGTGTGGGGTGTGTGTATTTAAGTAAGTGCTCGCATTTAAATATTGGGTTTTCATGTGTTTGTTCCTGATTCTGCCTCTTCAACAGGCTTGATGGTCTTGGGCAGTTCTCTTAATCTGCCTGTGCCTTTGTTGTGTGTATGTATGGTTTTGCTTTTGCTTTTGAAGGATAGAGAATGCTCATTTGCCACACAGAAATGATCTGACACCAGATGTATAGGAAGTGCTAGAACACATGAAAGATGTAGACAGGTAACATGAGATCAGACTTTTTATGGGCAAAAGTAATGCTTGTCACAATGAATCAAGTCCAGGCCTCAGAAATCTCTACGTGCCTTTGAGATCTTATGTTTGCACACTTATTGGCATTCAGAGTTTAACCAGTGTTGTCCATCAAATGTGGCCCAGTGACGCTCCCACGAGAGGGAGAGACCGGTTCTCGTGACAAGCCTGAGCTCACTTTCTCAGTGTTATAATATTGGATCACAGGACTGGGCTGCCGTTGTTTGAACCTGGTTCCCAGTGCACTGGCTGCCGAGTAGGCTGGCACATGGCTGACTTGGCAAGTGAGGGTGGGGGACTGCGCTTCCCCTGTGTAATGCTTGCATGGGCCTTTTATCTCTGGGATGACAGCTGCCACTCAACATGCACTGTCCCTATCCCTATCATGTGGCTGTTGGGCCCCTTAGGATCCTAGTCCTAGTTTCCAGATAAAGGGAACTTGGTAACGCCCATTTTCTTTACTTGTGGCCACGAACTGAAAATGCCGAAAACCTGACATTTAAGAAGTAACTGCGGAATGTTGAACTGTAAAAGCATTCTTCTTCCCTCCTGAAGCATCACTGTTCCCTGCTAAGGGCTTTTTGTTTTTCTCTTAGTTTGTTTGAAAGTTTGCTCTGGCAAGATCGGATGGCCAGTAGTTTAATAGAATCAGAAGAAATAAATTAGGGTGATTTTTATATGTGATCTTAACTGTTAATTCTAATTTTTAAAACAACATATATTTCCAAAAGCTATGCTCTAGTGTATAAGCCTGGGTGATTTATAGATGAATTTTCCCAACTGGAAAAAACAGTCATGTTTTGAATCCTAAGCTTAGTCGTGTCTTTGGTGTTCAAACATAGGGGAGGAATGCTTGTTTTTGAAGATTTCCAGAAGCTTCACATTGGAGGACACACCCCCCTCAACTAGTTACTGAATAAATAAGCTCATGATAACAAGTAACAGCTGTAGGCATGTGTGTGTGCGTATGTGTGTGCGTGTGTGTGTGTAAGAGAGAGAGAAGGGGGAAGGGCAAGAGTTGGTGGGACAGGAGAGAAGCTGTGCGGGAAAGACTCGGTGTGAGAGAGTGTGTGGTGGCCAGAGTTTAGACAGTTGTTCCCTGAGGTCTCTTGTTTTAATGAGATTTCAAAGGAAGGAGTCAGGGGTTCATGAGGCTATTTTAGACAGTGAACAGAACAAAGCTTAGCAGTACCAGAAAGAGACTTTAAACATTAACTTCATATGGAAAGGGCAAAGAATTGCCTTCATAAGACTGCAATGCCCTTTTTAGACTAGTTCAGTTGGTTTTCTTGGTAGCTAGATTTCAGTATTTTACGCTGTTCACTTCACATATGAGTGGTGAATTTTTTTTGTTTCTAGGTTTGTTTGTTTTTTTTTTTTTGCCTTTGTTCTTATGTGGTTATAGAATGAATTTTGAACCATTTTTATATTTTTGCTGTATGTTTATTATATTCAGGGATCATAAACTCTTGCGGTATCTTACGATATTATATGTTTGCTTGATTGAAAGATGCCATATGCCCATACAGCGTATATGTTTGTATGTATGTATATGTTTGTTTGTATGTATGCATGTATATGTATGTGTGTATGTATGTATGTATGTATGTGTTTGTATGTGTTTGTATGTGTATGTATATGTTTGTATGTATGTATATGTTGTTGTCAAGTGCTGTTGAGCAGTTTCAACTCATAGCGACCTGTAAAGGGTTTCCGAGGAGCAGCTGGTGGGTTTGAACTGCCAGCTTCATAGTTAGCAGTTCAGTGCTTTCCTACTGCGCCACACCAGCAGTCAAGACACATGTATAGCCATGTGTGTAATGATTACGACTGCCAGAACTCATTTCAGCGTAGAGTCATTCCTGAATTAAGGTGGTCTTATGTCAGATACACATTATAAAACATGGCAGTGTCTCCAAAAGCGAGTGCTCTAGAGGTGGGAGATCTTGCGTGATGAGATCCTGCCTCTGTGACCTAGAACAAGTTGGCCCTGGCACTTTCTTCTCTAAAATGCCCGTGCTAACAGCACCTCCATGGCTTGGCTGTCCAGAGACAGGAGACACTGTGCTTAGCGAAGCTGCTTCAACAGTCAGTGTTGTCAAGCCTGTTGGCATGCTCTGCCTCCCACCTCTTCCAGTGAGTCTTTGAGATCCGTGGGGTTTTCCTTCTTCATGGGGCAGGGCAGGAGTGAGGAGAACAGTCTGGTTCCCAAAAGAAGAATTTAGTGTTTCCACAGCACAGCACTGCGTGGAGTTGGGGGTTGAAATGGATGAATGCTGAGATCTGTAGTGAAATTGTGGGTCTTCTCAGCCAGCGTCCCTCTCACAGGTCTGAAGAATGTCTTTAACATTCTCTTCTCTAAGCAGAGCAGAAGAGAGGCAGCAGGGAGAAGTGGGCTTCCATGTTTTTTCTTTAAAAAAACAATACACTTACTTTGACATTAGAGGTTGCTCTTATGTAAAACTTTGTTCTTGTGTGGTATTGAAAAGTTGTTTGTTTGTCTGGCTCAAAGAAAGTTTCCAATGATCTTGTGTAAATACAGTGATTCAGAAAGGACTCCCACTTTCAGCACCTTAAGCTTGTATAGATTTCCATCACCAGGGGGCACCCAAGGGCCATCTTGACGGAAAAAAGAACACATTCCCTGTATGGTTCCTTGCTGAGCCGCTGAGGGGCACAGGCGTGACCAGGCTTCCTGAGGTACCTGAGCCTCGGTGCTCCCCACTTTCCCAGGCGTACCCTGTGCTCCATATTTTGCGCCAGTGGTGGTTACTGTTCGCACCTGCTGTGGGGTTGTAAACGTGAGTGAACTGTCTTTGCGTCACAGTGGTCACACAGTGACGGGGAACCCTGGGTGCCAGCTCTCAGGTCCTGAAGTCTTCAGTGCCTGTGGAGTCCCCAGTTGTTCTTAGCTTCCTGCCTGACGTTGATTTCTCTGGAGACAGTCGCTTTGGGTAATTGGAGAAATTATCTTTGAAAACTTCTTTTGTCTTGCCTTCAGGTAGCAAGAACCTGTCCACCTTTACCTCTGCCCATTCCAACCTTTCTCTTTCCAAATATCCCAGCTCTTACCTGAATATGATGGAATAGCTAGGACGAAGAAGAAATTTGGGTATTCAGAATACCTTCCTGCATTTTGCAAAGAGGACTCTTGCCATTTGCCTTTCTCTCTCCCCAAAAAAGTGTGATTTCTAGTCATGAATTCCGTTGCTGAAGACATTGTGTTCACAGTGGAGTCACGGTTCCTACACTTTGCCTTCCCAGTGGGCTCTGCTCTGCTCATCCTCGACTTGCTCCCACCACTGTGGGCTGTGCTGCAGTTGTGGAATAGGGGAGCAAGAGTCTGTCTCCATTGGTGGGGAACCAGACTCTTGTTAGTTATGGCTACTCACTAATGGTACTTTGTGGAAAAAATGGTGGTAAATACATGTCTTACTGTAGTTGATTTACATGTTGGCTGCAGTCCATTTTGCCAGATTATTTTTTAACCTACCTTTGGATCTGCTTAATAAGGTAAAGATTTGAAAGCATTTCTTTGGTATTGTGTTTTTTGTTTTTTTGTCCTTATAAGTTAGTGAAAATGATATTTATTTGACTGATACCAGGTGTATAACTTGGGTGCAGGTACCGTCCCAAGAAGTTGCATGGGTAAATAGTTGAATGAAGTGTTGCACTGATGAACATGTTGGACTTTAACCTTGTGTTGACTTACAGTTTGTTTTCCACTTCAATGTGCAGCTCCCTCCATACAACGGGAAGGGTGTGTGTGGTACCCAGGCTGCAGAGGAACTACCTGATGGTAAGCTCATTCTCTATTCCCCAAAGCGACTTGGTCCATATGCGCTGGGTGGGCAGGCTACCTGAAGATGCCTAGCAGTTAGGGTTTACTTACTCACAGCTTTGAGGGCTTTGCTGTCAACTCTAGCAGATGGGATCCCTGAATCAGGTGAGAGCCCAATAACTTAGTCGTTTCTGCCCTGCAGAGTGACCGATGTTAAAGGTACAGTTTAGGAAGTAGCTGTTAAATTCTTTTTTTCCTTAACAGTTTTCCGTGCTACAGGTATGGATTCTGTAGAGCTACAGGCTTTGCTAAAAGCTCTGAAGTGAGCTTTCTTACCTTACTGCTTAAACCCGTGGGGGTCCCAGCAGGATTTCTCTACTCATGCTCAGTGGCAGCCATACCTCCCACCTAACTTAGCACTGTTTTAAAGTCCATGTCACAGATGTGGCATCTGCCATGGTTTCAACACCAGGTAAACAGCAGCAGTCACATGATCCTTGTAGGCTGCCCTGACCCGGTTTGAATCGCCCACTCCACTGAAAGCCAGATGTTTCCGTAAGAGCAGGGGAAGCAATGCCCTCTTTGCTTCGTATGGTCAAACCCATGGGAAGGGTTTCAGTCTAGGAGCCTAGAAGGAGAAGAGCTGCTCTAATGGCCTCTTAGATGAGAAAGACAGTAAAGATGGAGGCTGCGGTCCTTAGGAGCCCTGCCAGGTCCACAGCCTCCTGGCTGCTGTTTTGGCCTGCTTCGTCTTGACCTCCATGGGTCTGGACTACTCCGAGTACCCCTGCCTGGCATTGCCTGGCACCATATTCTGCTCACGGTAAGTACGCTGCCAGTGCTTAGTAGACGTTTAGAATGTGTCATTGTTTCTCCTTTTCAGATTGCTCCTTCGTTCAGAGTCCATTTCTTTCTGAATGTCTTTCTGTGGCCTCACCATCTCCCCTCTGGGGGTTCCATCAACGACTCCTTGCAGCCTCCCACCCCTCAGTGTTCTAAGCCCTGAACTTTCTCGTGGCTGCTTGCCTGGTTCCTGGCCACCACCCCTCCTTAGTTCCTGCCCCGTGGCCTCCTCTGCCCTCAGTCTCCAGTTCATCCTCTCTCTGTCACCTGCTGCCACTCTTGGTGACTGGCCAGTGGAAAGGCCCCCTCTTCTCTGGAGCCTTTCTGTCCTCTTATATTCCCATTGGTCTGCCAGCCCTTATCCCCACCGCACAATAACCAGTACGTCCTCCTCAATCTGAGTTCAGCTGGTGATGCAGGGACTCGCAGCTGCACCGTGTAGTATGTGGACTATAGGAAACCCTTAGTGTGTTTGCAGGGTGAATGGTGTCTCCCACTACCTTGCACCATAGCCAGCTCCACCAGGTTACAGGCAGGTTCCTTAGCAAAACATGCACTTATATACCTCTGCCTTTTCAGATAGTCCCCAAAACTTGAAATGTTGCCTGCTCCCCTCAATTCTTCCAGTTCCACAGACCTCTCTTTAGCTTCTGATAGAAACTGGTCATTTTCTTCAGTGTCCCACAAACTTTCTTTGTGATGCTGTTGTGATCCTCTCTCACCCTCCCTCTGTATCCTCATCCTCAGGGTTTGTGAATTCCCCGAGGACAGTCACCTGGCCTCCCCTCTGTGACTTAATTCATGAGCACACTTCCCTGCAAACTAGAGTGGGTGCTGTATGGTTGCTGAAGCTTAACCAGGTGAGGAAGCCATGGCAGTAGTCATCCCCAAACAGCAGTGACCGTGAGCGTCCCCTGTGGACATTGCCGACTCTGGCACCCTGCACAGCCACCCAGGCCATTGTGCTCCATGGGAAGCCGTCCTTGTCTTGTTGAGCTGGTTCTTCATCCTCAGCAAGCCCAGTGCCGGCATGACCTGAGTGTTGCGTGACCACTTCCCCAGTATGGTGATGGGGGCGTTAAATCACCAGCTTTGTGGGCCTTCGGTGGACCCTGCAGTCTAACATCAGGGCTCAGGCGTGAAGCCAGGACATGCTAAGTGAAGGACAGCTTCCTGGGATGTGGACAAATGTGCTGGGTCTGAGCTTCAGGATGAAGTAGTTCCCTCCAAAGTCACACCACGTCCTGGACTGTTTCATGCTGTGATAAGATTAAGAATTGAAATGCAGAAGGCACCGTGTTTTAGCCAAGATCTCTTGTACAAACTGCATGGCACGCTGTGTGCTAATGCCCCACATACACACTTGTCATTGTGAATTGAGTGAGGGTTTACAGAGCTCAACAAATCACCTACTTCATGTCGTTACAATGACTACAGTCCCCTTCATGTACCATCAGTTAGCAGTATTTACCTGTTCACTTTAGCTCTTGCATTTCTCCCTGTGTCTCCTTCATCTTGCCTCCTCCTTGTATTTTTCCCATCACTCATGCTAACATGTGTCTACTCTCTAATATATGAATAATTTTCCTTCCCCCTCAAACCATCAAAGAATATTTCTTTTAGTGTGAAAACCTTTCCTTAACTTTTTACAACAGCGGTCTCATATGATATTTGTCCTTTTGTGATGGACTAATTCCACTTAGCTTAATGTCCTCCAAGTTCTTCCTCGTTGTGATGTGTTTCACAGATCCATCATTATTCTTCAGTGTTGTGTTAATATCCATTGTGTGTATGTACCAGTTGGTTTAACCATTCTTCTGTTGATGGGCGCCTAGACTGTCTCCATCTATTTGCTATTGTGAATAGTGGCTGCCGTGAACATGGGCATGCATAGAGCTGTGTTACAGCTCTTACTTCATGAGGAGCTATACCAAGGAGAGGGACTGATGGGTGGGTTATACAGTATTTCTATTTCTAACTGTTTGAGACAGGGTCGGCCCTCTTCCACAGGTGTTGCTGTCTGCTAAATTTTAATGTGCTTCCCCTGCCAATTTTCACTTCCCCAGGTGTGTCCACTCCATCCAGGTAGCATTGCTTTCTCACTGGAAGCAAAATGGACAGTCTCTAGGTGTTCTAATAAAGAAAGCCATTTCTCTTGAGAAGCTCTTTTCGGAGAAAAGGAAACCAAAGGACAAAACCTGTGCTAAAGGACTCAAGATGAGTGTCTTTGTCAGCGTTCTTTCGTCAGAAGTATTTTCCCTCCATTGTGTGTGTAAGAGAGAGAGGGAAGTCAGACATAAATAAACCATTGGGAGAGCTGTGCAGCCCTGTCCTATCTCGAATGTTCTTATGACTGCCCCCACTCTGGAGAGTTCTTTTTCTACACAAAAAACTTCTAAAGGTCTGTCCACGAATATATTCAAATATATTCAGCTCTGCTGAATAGAACACAGTTCTTTTGGTATTATGTTTTTTTTTCTTTAAGTATGTATGTGCCTTGCATTTGACTGAGGTGGGGAACCTCCAGCCTGTGTGCCACATAAGTCCTGCAGAACCATTTGGTCTGGCCCTGCTGAAGCAACCACAGGCCAGCCATTGCATTGTTGTTGTTGATGTGAAGTGCCGTCGAGTCAGTTCCAACTCAGTTTCCGAGGAGCAGCTGGTAAGCTTGAACCACTAACCTTACAGTTCAAACAGCTTTGCAGTCTGGCGCATTAACCCACAGTGCCACAGCAGAACTCCAGCCATCACATTGTTGTTGTTAAGTGCCGTCGAGTCAGGTCCTACCCATAGGGGCCCTGAACAGGGTTTCTGAGGCTGTAAATCTTTACGGGAGCAGAAAGCCTCATCTTTCTCCTGCGGAGCAGCTGGTAGTCTCGAACTGCTGACCTTGAGGTTCGCAGCCCAATTCGTAACCACTATGCTACCAGAGCTCCTTAGCCATCGCATTAGCATTAGTTAATTAAACGTTTGGCCAAATATAGCAGGCTAGTTCTTAAGTAGATAATTTTGTATGACCTGCAAATGTTGTTACAAATTTTGGCAGAAAAAAAGGTTCCTTACTCCTGCACTAGCCCTTAAAGCAAATCCACATGCGTGCAGGGAAGGCACAGACTTGAGCTTTAGAAATGAATGAAGTCACTCTTTCCTTCATCAACTTCAAAACTCTTCCATCGGATAGAAGATGACTTCTGTCTGTGTGTTGACAGGGGGTGGGCGATGAGGGGCATACCTTCACTCAGGCTAACTCCAGACATCCTCAAGGCTGTCAGCGGGGTGACCTAGAGAAGGTGACTCTGTCCAGAGTCATTCTCTATGTCAGTTGTTGTCTTGTGATCTTCAACAACTAAAGAACCTACCTTGAAAGATCTGCTTTAAAGCACCTCAGGTGGCCATGGAGAGGGAACTGCAGTGACCTCCTGCTGAGGGCCGTATCTGTCAGCACCTCTTACTCACCTCTCCCTCCAAATGTAGGCCTCTTGAGCTGGAAGGTTTGCTGGGAGCACTGAGGGAAACCTACTCCTGTCAACCACTGGCCATTATAGTTTAATTCTGTGACTCAGAGTTCAGGGGCAGTCCTCAGTTTACTCCTTCCCAAGATGTGCCTGCTTTACCTTCCCCCAGCCCAGCTTAGCTGACTTTATAGAGCAACAGGGTTACACTGAGCAACTCGTTCACGGCCGTGAGAAGTTACGACTTTCCCTTTCTTTCCAAGTGAGAAGTTACGACTTTCCCTTTCTTTCCATTCCTTGGAGGAGTTCGTGGGCATAAGATATATGAATGCATTTTACCTGGTATCTGTGGGGCCATGCATAAAGCATTTTACAGAAGGAGGTGAAATTCAGCACCCTGAGAAGTCTTGTTAATTGTGCACATTTGCTGTTCAGTCTTGTGAACTCTGAAGATGTACTGACACTGACTTTCTTTCAAAACATTTCAGCGTCACTTTTGTCATGAATTCAATACATACAGATGAGCATTATAATGAAGTTTTTCTCTGTAGTGGTTTTTGAAGTGATAAGTGGGGAAGGATTTATGAAGTCTTAAAAATCTATTAAGTAGCGTTTACAACTTCTTACACAAATTAAGTAGAATTCAGATTTTAGTCATGAAGTTGTTGTTAGTGCCGTCAAGTCAGAGCAGACTCATACAGATACTGTTTAGGGTTTCCAAGGAACAGCTGTGGGTTTGAACCGCTGACCCTGTGGTTAGGCAGTTCAGTGTTTATCCTACATCGCCGTACCAGGACTCATAAAGTAATGGACTTATAAAAGCAGTTAAAGAAAAATTAACTTTAAAGCAAGTCCACAGATTTTTTCCTGAAATAATATTGATATTGTGTCTAAAACTGTAGACTTGGATTGCACAGAATTTTTTTAATTAATGCTAATTCTTTTAAAGCAGTGTTTTAGTTTTTATTAAAGAAATATAGCAAAGGTTTTTAAGTTTCTTTGTCATTGTGATTTTACTGTTTTAAATTTAGTTGTCAAAATACAGATTACATTGAAGGTTTTTTTTTTTATAAATTTATTTTAATTTGTATTTTAAAGTCTTCCTTAGCTACCTACAGGTTAGCTAAGTATGAGCGGGCTTGAAGAAGTTTGTGGAAAAATGAAAGGGCAAGATGTTTCTATGAGCTTTGTAAAGCTGCCTTCTGTAGGCTTCTGGTTTTCATTTTCCCAGATGAAACATCATAGTTCTTTTGTTTTTAAGTTTCAGCAGATTACTTCTTTAGTACAGAGCTAAAATAGACCCTAGCTTTTTTTTTTCCTTAAATGTTTTATTGTGAATTATGTGATAGTTTACATGGGAGTACCCTAGCTGTTTGAATTAAAAGAATGTATGCAGCCAGGTTTCCGAGGAAAGCAGCTGCTATGAGCCCTTTGGCCAGTTTGCGTAGCTGTGGGCTTACCTGCCGGGTTCTCACTGGTGTTTTTCTGTCTACGCAGGACAAGAATATCAGAGAATCGAGTTTGGGGTTAATGAAGTGATTGATCCCAAGGACACCTTGCTGAGAGCCCCCAGCTACAGTATTTCAAGCACGTTGAACCCTCAGGCCCCGGAATTTATTCTTGGTTGTACAACTTCCAGAAAGAGCCCTGATGACTTAGACAAAGATACAAACTACAGCTCCAGTGAGTGCCGGTACCCAGACTCCTCCTTTGCTCTGGACAGCAGCTCTCACACAGAGGCAGAAGTGTTGGAAAATGATGGTGGCTCTGGTGGGCTTGGACAAAGGGAACGGAAAAAGAAGAAAAAACGACCGCCTGGCTATTACAGTTACTTGAAAGATGGCAGCAATGGGAGTATTGCCACAGAAACCCTGGTCAATGGCCACGCGCACCTAGCAGTCCCGGACAGTGTGAGCGTGGAGGACGCGGAATTCATGGGCGATGTGCCCTCATTGGTCACACCCAGGACTTGTAACAGCCCTGAGGACCCCCTGGATTTCGTCAGTGACTCTCTGTCTGACGGGCCATTCCCCCAAGCACTGGACAGTCAGGCCAGGACTGCAGGGCAGCCGGAGCTGTACCACCTGGCCGACTTTGAACAGGCCTGCCTCCCTGCAGAGGCCACCAGGGACAGCCTGTTACGGACAGCTGTGGCCCAGCCCTACACTGCTGCTGATACTACTGAGAACCTTGGCATTGCTAATGGACAAATACTTGAATCCTCGGGGGAGGGCCCGTCTGCCAATGGGGTAGAATTGCACACGGTGGAGAGCATGGACTCTGAGCCCACTCAGCCCCAGAATGCTTCCTCCCCGACTGAGCCTACGACCTCGGCTGCAGGCTCCACTCCTGCCAGTCAGCCTGCTAAGTCATGGGCCAGTCTCTTCCATGATTCCAAACCCTCCTCTTCTTTGCCCATGGCTTTTGTGGAAACTAAGTATTCCCCTCCTGCCTCGTCCCCCCTGGTCTCTGAAAAGCAGGTTGAAGTCAAAGAAGGGCTTGTTCCGGTTTCAGAGGATCCCGTAGCCATAAAGATTGCAGGTATCATGAAAAAGATCCCCTTTGAGAGTGAAAATGGGGGTAAGACTTATCCCAGGGGAAGGAGCATTTTACATATACACACATACACACACACAAGAGTGGGTTGGGGTAGGGTGGGGGCAATCATTGTTGCTCCTACTGTGGGTTTTCCTGGTCTGTAGACAAACATTTTTTCTGATCAAGCAGTGGTGCCTTGTTGTGAGAACGGATAATGCACGTGTCCTTTCTTTGTGACCACTGTTTTAGGCCTTTCATGTGAGAACCTTGGGCTGATAAATACTGCACTGTGCCTTTCATATTTCTTGCAAAATTTTGTGAATAACAGGATTTTTTCCCCTTTAATGCCTTTTGGACTGCACAAATGGAGTCCTGGTGTGGCGCTGTAGGATAAGCCCTGGATGCTGTAACTGCAAGGTCGGTGGTTCAACTCCACCATTTGCTCTTCGGAAACCTTGTACAGGGTTGCGGTGAGTCAGAACCAACTTGACTGCACTCAACAACAGTAACAGCAGATGGGTGTTATTCCAAGTTTTTCACACACCCGCAACCTTAAATTTTGGAGTCCTGGTGTGGCGCTTTGGGTTAATGTGACACACTGCAAAGCCATTTGAACTGCAAGGTCGCTGGTTCAAGCTCACCAGCTGCTCCTTGGAAA